GCATCCGTGCAATTGAGGTCACATCAGCCAGACAGGCAGGCAGGCACACAGGGAGACATATGGGCATGGCAGGCAAGAGCAGCTCAGTTGGTGTTGGTGGTGATATGCATGTGGTTGGATGGTTGAGTGAGTGAGTGGTTGAGTGAGTCAGTGCAGTTACTCTATCTTGAGCAGCTCGAGCTCGTAGTAAGCCGTGTACCCGAACTTCGGTAGCCTGATCACGCGCCTCGTCTCCCCCACTCTCATCGACCAGAGAATCTCGTGGAAAAAGTCGCTCGAGATGGCGCGCCTCTCGCCCTTTTCGTTGGTACTGAAGACGAGCGGCTGATCAGACTCGAGTCTCTCGTCCTTCCACTCGTTGTCGAGTTCGGTTCCCGGCTCGCCGGCGAAGCCGCGGCGCCACTCCCTGGCGTTGAACTTCACCGCATCGCCGCGAGAAGGCGACGCGCCCGTCCCTGGAGTCACTAGCTGGAAGAGCATGCCAGACGAGGGCGCGCGGACGAAGGTGAGGTCGGGACCCTCCCCGCCAGAACCACCCAGACTGAAAGGAAACGGCGAGACAGAGATATCTCTGTGGTGGTGAGCAGGAGAATGAGTGCGTAGGTGCGTTTGTGGGCGCGTACATTTCCTGCCGGATCTTGGCGATGTCGACGTCGGTGAACATCTTGACGTCAGGCCAGTGTTCCTCGCGAATGGGCCGCCACTCGTCACCGAGCTCCACCAGATACCCTCCCTTGTGGTCGAGGTGCACAGACTGACCATCGAAGAGACCCACTGCCTCCTTGCTGGCGGGCGAGGTGATCTCGGCGGCCACACTGCCATGCCAACGATTGACAGACAGAGAGTTGATCGGCACTTGGACTGATGGCTGGTATCCACTCAGTCCTCCTCACCTGATTTGCGGCACGCCCGCCACTATGTTGACGTCGGCAAATCGCTTGATGTCGGGCCAGTTGGCTGCTGGGATGGGGCGACGCTTGTTGCCCACCTCGAGCTGGTAGCAGTCGTTGGCATCTGACCAGCACACAGACGCCATGTGCATCGGATGTGCACCTTGTCCCCAGCATACATACCATAGTACACAGCGCATCCCTCGAAGAGACCCATCGCCCTGTCGGTCTTTCGACTCGCCGGAATCGTCGGAATCGCCGGCCTGGTGGGAGCTGGAGCCACAAACACACCCACAGCACGACCCCCCTCTCTCACGTCCTCCTCCCTCATGGCTTGCCCCAGTGTGTGGGCTTACGTGTTGCCTGTGTTGCGGTGGCCCGAGCCTGCTCTGCCATCCTGCGCACGAGCTGGCCCTCCTCGAGACTGGCGTGAGTGATCTTGGGCATCTGCAGCGCCTGGAAGCCGCTGATGGCAGGGCGGGTGCCGAGGTGCCTCCCCCCTGCATAGCCGATCCCCAGCAAAAGGGCCACGAGCACGAGAGGCGTCATCTCAGGTGCGTCTCGCTTCGTGCACTGATGTGGACCACGAGCGCGCGAGTCTCTGCTCTGCGCTGCTGCCTCGGGTGAGTAGAGAGCGTAAGGAGAGGAAGATCTTCAGGGGGGAAGTTGCAAGCTTGCGAGTGGATCGCGGCCAGAGACACGTGCCATGAGTTCGGGAGAGGTCAGCCGAAGAAAGGACTGGGACTTTTCTGCATGTTCTGAAGGTTTGTACAGGGCAGTGTTCAGAGAATGAGTGGTTGAGTGGTTGAGTGGCTGAGTTTGTTGGCTTCGGATTCGCGTAGATGCGTCTGCGCAGGAAAGACTGTCAGCGTTTCGAGCAGACAAGACCCGTGGCAGAAGCGTAAAGCGATGGATCTTGTGCATGGTTTAAGACTAGGTAAAGAAGAGGTGGGGAGCCATTGCCTCTGCAGTGGGTCAGGGACATACATCAATTCTCTCTCCATGCACAACACACATCCACATGGCAGACACTCCGCACACTGAAGAGACAGAGTGGGTTTGCGTACACACGACTGTGGGGAGGCCCATAGTGATAGGCGGTCATGCACTGAAGACAAAGACACGTGATTGTGGGAAGGCCCACACTGACGGTATCGCCTGCGTTCACACGAAGCAGATTCAATGAATGCGAGGCTGCATCGAGGCGTACCTTGTGTACTTACCTCTCATCGGCTCCCTCTGTTTCTGACACAAATGACAGATTCATACCTTGCCGCATGGCCAAACCGCGGCTGACAGATCAATTCATCATTGGCTCCTCCAGCTGCTTGTGCCAACAAAGGCTGTGTCTGTCGTCCGGGGTCTTGCGATGACGAGGCAATCGCGCAGATATTGATGAACGTGGACCAAAACCTTTCAATTATGTCCGTATGCTGTGGGCTGGGAGGGAGGCTGGGG